GCCAAGTGGTGGTTCTGTCTATCTAAAAGATATTGCTGAGATCAAAGATACTGTAAAACAAACAGAAAGTTATGCCCGACTGAATGGCAAAAACGTGGTCACTCTAAATATTGTAAAACGTCCTGGCGAAAACTTGATAAACTGTGCAGGTAAAATCAAAGATATGGTTGCAGAAATGCAAATCGATGAATTGCCTAAAGATCTTAATGTAGTCGTCACAGGAGATCAAAGTAAACAAGCAGCCACTTCATTTGAAGAATTGGTCAATACCATTATCATTGGTTTCTTGTTGGTATTAGTCATTCTGATGTTTTTTATGGGTGTCACCAATGCATTCTTCGTAGCCTTAAGTGTACCACTGAGTGTATTTATTGCATTTTTGTTTTTACCATTTGCGGAGCTTATTGTAGGATCGGATATTACATTAAATTTCATTGTCCTCTTTGCCCTCTTATTCGGGTTAGGTATTATCGTGGATGATGCCATTGTGGTTGTTGAAAACACACACCGGCTTTACGAAAATGGTAAAACGCCTATCTTAAAAGCCGCAAAAGCTGCAGCAGGAGAAGTATTTATTCCTGTATTGGCAGGAACGTTGACGATCATTGCACCGTTTTTCCCTTTGATATTTTGGAAAGGTATTATAGGTAAGTTTATGATCTACCTTCCTGTGATGTTGATATTCACATTGTTTGCATCATTGATCGTTGCTTTCATCATGAACCCTGTATTTGCAGTTAGTTTTATGAAACCTGAAGGTAAAGAACTCGATCCACCTAAGTCATCAATATTTAAAAGATGGTGGTTTTGGTTGATGGTAGCTTTGGGTATTATTTTCCACTTTACTGGAAGTCCAGGTAAAGGTAATTTCTTGTTGTTATTTTCAGTCTTAACTGTCATACATGTGTATGTGATGCAAGATGTGATTTACTACTTCCAAGAAAAGATATTGCCTTACTTAATGGATAAGTACGAGAACTTTTTAAGATGGTTACTCCGAGGATGGCGTCCTATTTTGCATTTATCAGTACGTTTGTACTATTTGGAATTGCATTATTTTTGTTGATTGCTAGTAAGCCAGATTTTCCATTTTTCCCTAGTGGTCAGCCGAATATGATCTATGTCTATCTTAAAATGCCGATAGGTACTAATGCCCAAGAAACAGACAAAGTACTGAAACAATTGGAAGTCAAAGTATTCGATGCATTAAAAACACTTAGACCTACAGAAGAAGGATCTATCGTGGAAAGTATCCTGTCCAATGTAGCTGTGAATGCTAATAATCCGATGGACAATAACAGAAGTACACAGACCAATCTAGGAAGGATTCAAGTTTCATTTGTAGAATTTGCAAAAAGACCTGATACGCCTACCTTACCATATTTGGATTCTATCCGTGCCGTAGTGAAAAACATCCCTGGAGCTCAAGTAACCGTGGAACAAGAAGGTTCAGGCCCTCCGACAGAGCCGCCTGTAAACATTGAGATCTTCGGTGACAACTTTGAAGACAATGCCAAAGTGGCAACAGATCTTTACAATTATTTAGATGTCAACAAGGTAGATGGTGTAGAAAATCTTGCCATGGATATTGACCTTAATAATCCTGAGGTTACTATCAATGTAGATAAAGAAAGAGCAGCTATTGAAGGTATTAATACCGCACAAGTAGGAAGTGCCATCAGAACAGCACTTTTCGGTAGGAAGGTAAGTAAACTAAAATCTGGTGAAGACGAATTTGAAATACAATTGAGATACAACGAATTGAAGAGAAATAATCTTCAAAGTTTGATGAATATGCGTATTACTTTCAGAGATTTTAATACTGGAAGAATCAAACAAATTCCGATCAGTACGGTAGCAAAATTTGACTTTACAAGTTCGTCAGGTGGTATCAAACGTAAAAACCTGAAACGTACCATTCAACTACAATCAGCTGTCACAGACCTTTCTGCTGTAGCGTCTATCAATGCAGAATTAGGAAGTAAGATCAATGATTTTAAGACCAAATATACCATCCCTGAAGGTGTCAGCATCATCCAAAGTGGTGAAAGCGAGCAACAACAGGAGACCAACTCATTTTTGGGTGGTGCATTTATCTTAGCATTGGGACTTATATTCTTAATATTGGTAATGCAATTCAATTCATTGAGCAAGCCATTTATCGTATTGACGGAGATATTTTTCTCTATCATTGGAGTATTCCTTGGATTTGCTATCACGGGTATGACTATGCCTACAATCATGGTTTTGGTCGGTGTGATCGGACTAGCTGGTATCGTGATCAAGAATGGTATCTTGCTAATTGAGTTTACAGAAGAGCTGAGAGAGAGAGGTATGAAGACCAGAGAAGCGACCATTCAAGCTGGAAAGATTCGTATCATACCAGTGCTATTGACAGCTGTTGCAACTATATTAGGTTTATTGCCTTTGGCAGTTGGATTTAATATCAATTTTGAGTCATTATTTACCCATTTAGATCCTAAAATATTCTTAGGTGGAGACAGTGTGGTATTCTGGGGACCATTAGCATGGACGATCATTTTTGGTTTGATCTTGTCATTTTTCTTGACATTATTGATGATACCGAGCATGTACGTTATGTCTGAAAGATTGCGTAGACCAATGATCAAGTTTTATGGTACAAAATTTATCGCATTACTAGGATTTACTGGACCATTTTTCTTTATCTTTGTAGGTCTAATGTACTTTGTAAGATGGATCACAGGAAGACCTGTCTGGAACGGTACATATAAATACAAATAATTTTTTGAAGAAGTAAGTTGTGCATAAGTACAACTTACTTCTTTAACCATAAACAAAACAAGAACGTATGAGTAAGTATGCGCATTTGAGATTGGAATACAAAAAAGAAAAACTCTCTGAAGAAAGTGTGGAAACAAATCCATTGACTCAATTTGACATATGGTTTCAAGAAGCCATGAATGCTGAAGTACCTGAGCCAAATGCATTTGCCCTTGCGACATCCGGTCCACTAGGAATACCATCAGCGAGAATCGTGTTGCTCAAAGGTGTAGACCGAGACGGTTTTGTTTTCTATACAAATTACAA